AGCATACAATTCTACTTGTAGTTTAGATTTATTAAAGCAATGCCATGAGGGTAGAGCACAGAATTATAAGGGAACAGACACAGGCAGATTCTGGAGAAACCAGTGCCAGGCTCTCTCATGCTCTCTTCTCACGAAGGACTACAGAGCACACGTCTCAAGCAATACAAATGCAATGACATGTGTGTGATTTTTTCACCCCTGGAAGTCCATTAGAGACTTGTGCTCTAAATTTATATCAAAGCACAGTCATGTAGGGACTCTCTGACTAGCACTTAGGAAAATTCCAGACTATCAGAAAAGAAAATAATAAACATCAGGTATTCAGTTTACACCATATTGTTTATGTGTTCCAGGCACAGTGAATTATCCTTATCAGTTTACTGTTTGATTGGAAACACTCTGTTAGCCATAGATGGCAGCTGACCTTAAATCTTGCAAGATCTTTTTAAAGATAAGAATAGCAGTCTTGGGCCATCTAGCCTCTCTTTTTTCTGCAAAGATAATTAAATACCCATAACTTTAAATTTCTAAAGGAAAATCAGGAGTGTATTTAGCTTAAAGGCCATGAGAAAAACAATGTAAACATAATAGCTACTTTTAAAAAGTCTTCAAAGCATTTAATTCACTTAACATTAAATTTTTTCAACAGCCTTTTTTCAAATGTCACATGAATAATAAACTATATTGGTAATGTTGCTCGAAGGAAGCACTTATTTTTTTTGGTAGTGAATTCTCATCTTTATTGTATCATCTCCAGGAAAAAGAAAATAAAACATTGATAGGCTGAGATGTAAAATAAAACAACAACTTCCGCCTCTGTTTCTCAATTAAAGCCCTGCCAGATGTCAATCCCCAGCTTTGGCATCATGGCTTTCCTTCTGTTGTTGGCCTATGTGATAGCTGGATGTCTTTCTGCTGCTTCAGCAGGCACATGCAATCTCTTAGCTCTGTATCCCCCTTTATGGGAGGAGAGCCCTGGTCAGTTCAATGTCTACCAGGTGAAAAATGGACAGTACATTATTGATGCCTGGGTATATCCTGAGAGAATGGGGATGTACAAAATCCTATTGACTCAGACAGCCAAGTATTTTGAAAGATTTTCACCAGAAAATGAACAAAACATTCTATGGGGACTGCCTCTGCAGCATGGCTGGCAATATAATACAGGTAAGAGTCACTCTTTTTTATTGTAATGCTCGTCCAATATATTCATGAACTCAAAAAAAAAAAAAATCCAAACTCACTGCCGTTGAGTCAGATCCGACTCATAGCAACCTCTCCCTGAGTTTCCAAGGCAGTACCACTACGGAAGTAGATTGTCCAGTCTTCCTTCTGAGGAGTGGCTGGTGGGTTTGAACTGCCAGCCTTCTGGTTAGCTTAGGCACTATGCCACCAGCACTCCCATATATCCATGAAGTAACTGGTAAATGAGACCTCTGTACATAGTATACCAAAGGAACTCTGGTGGAACTGTGGGTAAGGCATTTGTTTGCTATCTAGAACGTCAGTCGTTCAAGACTATCAGCTGCTCCACAGAAGGAAGATGAGGCTAACTACTTCTATAAAGCTTTACAGCCTTAGAAACCCTGTGGGGGTTGCTATGTGTCCAAAATGACTCAATGGGAGTGGGTTTATGTGCTATACCATGTTTTTTGAAAATTAATTATTTCCCTTTTCTCTCCTCTTTTTTTTTTTTTAACCCTTGTAATCATTACTTTACTTTTCTCCACAAATCTTTCATTAATGGGTTGACTGTTTCTACTAGAAAGAGTAGTGAGAGATAAGGCATATGGCATAAAGGAACCAAAACTGAACTCACTCTTGTCAAGTTGGATTGGACTAGACAACCCCTCCTTGGGTTTCCGAGGCAGTATCACTATGCAAGTAGATTGCCCAACCTTCCTTCCCAGGAGTGGCTGGGTTTGAATCATCAGCCTTCTGGTTAGCAGTCAAATGCCTTAGGCACTATGCCACCAGAAGACTTTACTGACAGAAATAGGGATGTTTAACCTTGCCTGAGTACCAAGATCACAGTACAACTCCAGATGTGTTCAGTTAGAGATGAAAAGAAATCAAACAGCAAATAAGCTGAAATTTAGGGCTAAAGAATATTGTCAGTAGAATTAAGATAATATTTGAAAGTATCATGAAGGCTGAATGCCTTAGGGGAGTAAGTGAAATAAAAAGAGCTGGGTAATACAAGGAAGAGGCCTAAGCTCCAAAGAAAACAGAAGAAAAGGAACAGAAGAAGTAAGTTTTACATAACTATCTTTCACTAATTTGGTAGTGTGAGAAATAGTCAATTAGGAAAAAAATTCACAATTCTAATGTTCATACTGATTAACAGTACTAACAAGTTCTTCAGTATCATTATTTTGAGATTAAGCAGGTTAAGAAAAGCTGAGTGGGCATGAACCATGAGATTAAAAAGAAAGGAACTGGACATATGTGGGGAAAAGAGATGAGCAGAACTGTCATGCTAATGAAAGAATGAAGGAACAAAGCAAGAAGGGGTAGTTGTAGAGGAACATAAGGAAGAGAAAGTGAGTGCACAAGAGAAAGGTTCTTAAGGAAACGAGCAAATGCAAAATAGATATAACAGAAACCTGAAGGCAAGGTTGAAGTTCAAGAAGTAAATGAGAATAAACTATAGATTTACTTAGGTGGAAGTGAGAGAAAGAAAGAAGGAGTGGAGAGAATAAATAAACAAACTGTAATTAAGCTGGGTGGAGGGGGAATCTTAAGCAATGTCAGAGGAGAAAATTAGGGTACAGAATCCAAGGGATAAACAGAAAATAAGCAGGGAAGATGGGGGGTGACACAAATAGAACATAAGAAATTGAGAAAATATGATTGTGCTTTGGTGAGGAAAAGAAATATCTGGTAATATTGATGGAGCACATACACACTGGGTGAAACCCTTCTCATGATTTTTGTCACTTGACATAACAATCTTAGGAAGCACTTAATGTTATTATTCCTATTTTATAGCTGAGGAAACCAAAGTATAAGAAAACTCATAAACCAAACTTACTGCCATTGAGTCGATTCCAACTCATAGCAACTGCTGTTGGGTTTCTGAGGCTGTAAATATTTACAGAAGTGGATTGCCCAGTCTCCCTTCTGCAGAGTGGCTGGTGGGTTTGAACCACCAACCTTCTGGTCAGTCAAAGGCTAAGTTGCTTAGCCAAGGTCAAGCTAGTAAATGATAGGACAGGGCTTTGGTTTGACTCTAGATTTCTGTTAATTTCTATGCACTCTTTTAATGTCTACTGAATCTCTAATTCTGAAGGAATTTATCAAAGGAAGTAGAAAAGACTATTATCTTTACAAGAGCAAAGAATACTTAAGTAATTTAAAAGTACAAAATTGTGGTGATGTTAGGGAAAGAAAATTTTCTTAAGATGAGAAAAGAAAGATAAATAGAGATTGGAAGACAAATACAAGTCATTCTGGAGATGCATCTAGTTAAGTGACAAATTATAAGCAGTTTAAAAATACCAAAAAGAAAACCAAACTCACTGCCATCGAGTCGGATCTGATTCCTAGCAATCCCTCCATGGGTTTCCAAGGAGGTGGCACTACTGAAGTAGATTGCCCAATCTTCCTTCCAAGGAGTGGCTGGTGGGTTTGAACTTCCAACCTTCTGGTTAGCAGTCAAATGCCTTAGACACTATGCTACCAGAGCTCTTCTAGTTTAAAAATAGGCATAATAAACATGACTGTCTATTCTCTCTTTTCTAGGCAGATTAGCTGATCCCACCAATGCAACGAACTGTGGTTACGAATCAGATCATTTGTGCATCTCAGTGAACAGTTGGTGGGCTGGTAAGTTCATTTAAATAGCAAAACAAATTACTAACCATCTCACAAATAATATATATTCAAGCTAAAATCTTAAGTACAGAGAAAAGGACTTAGTTATGGTTGCAAGCATGATTACAAATTAAGCATGTATATATAAGATTCTAACTCTTAATCAAAGCTGTAATCACAGTAGAATATTTTAGGAAATTTTACATATTTTACAGAAATACATCAGTGAGAGGTTTTGTACCATTTTGTGAACAAATCTGTAACTTTCTTTGTACTTTACCTAGGATGATTTGAAAAAATAAAATATTACCAAATCTCTTAAAATTATTTTTTGTTTGAAAATATTATAGGCACCTTCTGTACCCATATTTATTCATAATTATAAGATGATGGATAGAAGCATGTTAAAGTGATCCTTTGGAGGATTCATATTCAATATTTTTTTGATGGTCTAGTTTTTATCACATATTTTTTGATCAATCAGTTATTTTTTTTTCTTGGTGGTTTATAGTTCCCATCAAAATGTCCTTGTTCAACATAAGAAAAACAATCAAGATGATATACCACATTAATAGAAAAGAGTCAAATAATCATCTCAGTTGAAACAAAAAGGGCATTTGACAAAATCCAATATTCTTTCATGATTAGAACACTCAATTAGATAGGAATAGAAGGGAAATCCTCAACATGATAAAGGAAATTTATGAAAAACTCATAGCTAACTTCATATTCAACGGAAAAAAATTGGAAACTTTCTTATCAAGATCAGGAACAAGACAAGGATGCCCACTGTCATCACTGCTGTTCAGCATTGTATTGGAAGGCCTAAGCAGAACAATCAGTCAAGAAAAATAAATAAAAGCTATCCAAATTGAGTAAGAGGAACTGAAACTTTAGTAAGTAACATAATTCTATAAACAGAAAACTACAAAGATTGCAAAAGAAAGCTATTCAAAAAAAAAAAAAACAAACTCACTGCCATAAAGTCGATTCTATTCCAATTCATAATGACCCCTTTTGGGTTTCTGATGTGGTAAATCTTTACAGAAGTAGCTTGTCCAATCTTCCTTCTGCTACGTGGCTGGTGGGTTTGAACCGTCAGCCTTCTGGTTAGCAGGCAAGTGACTTAGCCACTATGCTACCAGAGCTCTAATAAATTAATTCTGCAAAGTGGCAGGGTACAGGGTCAATACACAAAAATCACTTGGATTTCTATCCATCGGCTATGGGCATTCAGAAATGGAAATTAAAGAAACATTTACACTGTTGTTAGCATCTTAAAAAAAAAAAAAATCACCATGAAACCTAGGGATAAATCATAATCAGGAAGGAAAAAGACTTTGACACTGAAAACTATTGAGCATTACTAAAATTGAAGACTTAATATTGTTAAGATAACAACTTTACCTAAAGCAATCTATAGATTCACTGTAATGTAATCCCTATCAAAATTCCAATAGCTTTCTTGAAGGAATGGAAAAGTTAACCTCAAATTTATATGAAACAGCAAAGAACCCCAGATAGCCAAAATAATCTTAAAAGAAGAACAGAGTGGGAGGATTCACACTTTCTAATTTTAAAATATACCATTAATTTATAGTAATCAAAATAGTCTAATGCTAGTGTAATAATAGGAGCTCTGGTGGCATAGTGCCTAAGGCACTTGACTGCTAACCAGAAGGCTGGGGGTTCAAACCCACCAGCCACTCCTCAGAAGGAATGTTTGGGCAATCTATTTCCGTAGTGATACTGCCTCGGAAACCCAAGGAGGGATCGCTATGAGTCAGGTCCAACTCGATGGCACATAACAACAACAACAACAACAACAAGTGTAATAATAGATGGACAGGCCAATGGAATAGAATTGAGAATCCAGAAATAAATCTATACAAGTATGACCCAATTGATTTTTGACAAAGGTGAGAAGTCCATTCAACAGGGAAGGAATACTTCAATAAATGATGCTGCAACAAATGGATTTCCCCATAGAAAAGAATGAAACTGAACTCATAACTCACACTGTGTACTAAAATTAACTCAAAATGGGTCAAAGGCCTAATTGGGAGATATGAAAGTGTGAAACTCTTAGAAGAAAATATGAGAGCAATGCTTTGGGATCTAGTTTTTAAAAATAGATTCCTGGATATGACACCAAAAGCATGAGCAGCAAAAGACAAAGTAGATAAATTAAAACAAACAAACAAACAAACAAACAACAAAGGAACTGAATACATGCTTTGTGAAAGAGGATTTACCTATGGCCAGTAAGCACGTGAAAAGATGTTCCAAGTCATTAATTGATAATTCGTTGCTGTGGAGTCAATTCCAACTCATAACAACCCCATACGACAGAGTAGAACTGCCCCATAGGGATTCCCAAGGCTTTGTGTAAACAGACTGCTACATCTTTCTTTCAAAGAGTGATTGGTAGATTCTAATGACTGACTTTTCAGTTAGCACTGAGTGCTTAACTACTGTACCACCAAGCCTCCCATTAATCTTTAGGGATATGCAAATGAAAACCATAGAGATACACCTTACTCCCAGTAGAATAACGATGATCAAAAAAGCAAAAAATAACAGGTGTTCATGAAAAGGTAGACAAATTGGATTCTCATCCATTACAAAATGGTACAGTTACTGTGGAAGACAGTTTGGAAGTTTCTCAAAAGTTGAATACAGACTTGCCATATGACCCAGTAATCCCAAACCTAGATATATACCCAGAAGAAATGGAGGCTGGAGCACAAACAGAAACCTGCATACCTATGTTCATTGTAGCTCTGTTCACAATACCCAAAGATGAAAAGAACTTAAATGTCCATCAACAGATGAGTAAATAAACAAAATGATTATATACCTACATATAACATGAAATATACACACAATGGACTCAAACATGAATAGGAATGAATTTCTGACACATGCTACAACATGGATGAATCTTGAAAACATCATGTTGAGTGATAAGTCAGTCACAAAAGGACAAATCATGTAAGATTCCTCTTATATAAAACAGACAAATGTATACAGACCAAAGTTTATTAGTTGTTACCAGGGATGAGAATGAGGGAAGAAGGGGAAATCTTTGCTTAGGGGCAACACAGTTTCTGCTATGGTGGTGGAATAGTTTAGAAAGGGAATAGTAGTGATATTTGCATTCAATGTCACTGAATTGCACATGCAGAATATTTTGAATTGCCAAATGTTTTGTAATGTATTATTTTAACAATAAAAAAATCCTCTTACATTTGCTAGTGTTTGTGGTAATAAGTGTTTTGCTTTTACAGATATAAATTATTTTCTGTGTGCATTACCTTTCCTTTCTGCGGTTGATTCTGGTGTGATGGGGATATCATCAGATCAAGTCACCATTTTGCCACCACCCAAAGATCAGATGCTGTTTTGTTTTGACGTGTTTACCTGTCGTTCATTATTCCCAAAGACAATGGACAAGTGGAATGCCTTTTACCAGGTTCCTTCTTTAAAATTTATAATTTATACTCTTAAGAAGTGATAAGACAATTTCTTTTGGTATACATCTTCTGTATAGGATAGTGTGTGGGCATGGTACATTATTTTCCTTATTATGAAAATATTAAGTTTTATGTAATCATTATAGTTGGCCATTATATGTCATCAACATTCCCTTTCCCAATACAGCATTAGCAAAAAAACTGATACTCTCTTCTCACTACAAATTATACACAAATACATAAGCACACAGGATATCTTGATGAATGGAGAACAGACAATTCCAGCTAATTTGAACTTCAGGCCTTTTAAAGAAAAATCTTTAGGAGAAATGTGATATGGAAGTGGTTTTGCAGCAGTTGATCTACTTATTCTAATTGAATTAATAAACCACATATGAGTAGAATATCAAAATTATAGCAATCAAAAGCAAATATTCAATGACCAAAGTAAAACACACCAGTTAAAAGTAGACATGGACTAAGATTTAATGATGAAAAATTAATTTACTCATTCTTTATATTATTAGTTCATTAATTTAGATATGTTTAAATTAAATATTATAACAAGACTTTTTCCCACTTCTTATTCTTAAGGTGTTGTGATCATTTTGACTATAGTATAAGAAATGACAAACAAAAAATAAAGACCTTCAGGCCAGTATAAAAGAATGACTCTGAAAAATACTTGCATTCACTTCTCATACATGCATGCATTATTACTAGTAATAACTATGTATTATGTCCTTTACTATATGTCCTTTACAGAATTTTAGGCACTAATGTCTTACACAAATTAATTCTGAGTAACAATTTCTCCTCTCATGTAGAATATTGCTAAATTATACATGTGAACAAGATTGAATTGCAGGAAGAAGAACTGTTACAGTTGTTCAAATATTAATAAAATTCTTCTTTTGCTTTAGAATATGAAGTTACCTTCTAGTAGCTTTGAAGGTCTGTTGAAGTATTTATGGGCTGCACATACCTCAACCTTGCAGGATGTTCTCAAAATTTTTGAAACTAGGTAAGAATGGATAAAAAGTAATTTCTGTTCAATGGAAAAATGATTTTTTGGCCTTATTCATGACTATCTTCTTTACTTCTACTTCAAACTTCCTAATAAATAATAAGTCAAAAGATTGAACACATAAAGATTGATATCCTAGGCACCCTCAACTCACTGCTGCAAGTCGATTGTGACTCATAGTGACCCCTCCTTGGGTTTCTGAGGCACTGTCTCTATGGAAGTATATTGCCCAATCTTTCTTCCAAGGAGTGGCTGGTGGGTTTGAATTGCCAGTCTTCCGGTTAGCAGTCAAATGCTTTAGGCACTATACCATCAGCATTAGTGAGCTGAAATGACTGGGTATGGCCATTTTGAATAAGACAACCATATGATCTACTATACGGGGAATGAAAAATTGAAGATGAATGGAGTGGCATTCATCATTACAAAGAAGGTTTCAAGATCTATCCTGAAGTACAATGCTGTCAGTGATAGGATAATATCCATACGCCTACAAGGAAAACCAGTTAATACTACTATTATGCAAATTTACACACCAACCACAAAAGTTAAAGATGAGGAAATTAAAGATTTTTACTAACTTCTACAGTCTGAAATTATCCAAACATACAATCAAGATGGGCTGATTATCAATGGTGATTGGAATGGAAAGGTTGGAAACAAAGAAGAATCACCAATAGTTGGAAAATTTGGCCTTGAGGATAGAAATAATGCTGAAGATAGCATGATAGAATTTTTCAAGACCAATGACTTACTCATTGCAAATACCTTTTTTCAACAACACAAACAGTGGCTATAAACATGGCCTTTGGCACATGAAGTACACAGGAATCAGACTGACTACATTTGGTGCAAGAGACAATGGAGAAGTTCAGTGTCTTTAGGCCAAAGCAAGGCAAGGAGCAGATTGTGGAACAGACCATCAACTGCCCATTTGCAAGTTCAAGTTGAAGTTGAAAACAATTAAAATAAGTACACAACAGCCAAAATATGACCTTGAATATATCCCTCCCAAATGTAGAGACCATCTAAAAAATAGATTTGATGCATTTAACACCAATGACCAAAAACCAGAAGAATTGTGGGATGACATCAAGGACATCATCCATGAAGAAAGCAAGAGGTCATTAAAAAGACAGAATAGGAAGAAAATGCCAAATGGATGTCAGAAGAGACTCTGAAACTTGCCCTTGAACAGAGAGTAGCTAAAACAAATGAAAGAAATGACAAGATAAAAGAGCTGAACAGAAGATTTCAAAGAGCAGCTTGAGAAGACAAAGTCAATTACTATAATGAAATGTGCAAAGACATGGAGTTGGAAAGCCAAAAGGGAAGAATACACTGGGTATTTCTCAAGCTGAAAGAACTGAAGAAAAAATTCAAGCCTGGATTGCAATATTGAAAGATTTTATGGGCAGTATAGTGAATGATGCAGGAAACATCAAAAGAAGATGGATGGAATACACAGAGTCACTGTACCAAAAAGATTTGTTTGATGTTCATCCAATTCAGGAGGTGGCATATGATTAAGAACCAATGGTACTGAAGGAAGAAGTCAAAGCTGCACTGAAGGAAGTGGTGAAAACAAAGACTCCAGGAATTGATGGAATACTCATTGAAGTGTTTCAACAAACAGCTGCTGCATTAGCAGTACTCACTTGGCTATGACAAGAGATTTGGAAGACAGCTACCCAGCTAAGTGACTGGAAGAGATCCATATTTGTACCCATTCAAAAAAAAGGTGATCCCATAGAATGTGGAAATTACCAAACAATATCATTAATATCACACACAAGTAAAATCTTACTGAAGATAATACAAAAACAGTTACAGCAGTATATTGACAGAGAACTTCCAGAAATGCAAGCTGGATTCAGAAGAGGACGTGGAATGAGAGACATCATTGCTGATGTCAGATGGATCTTGTCTGAAAGTAAAGAATATCAGAAAGATGTTTACTTGTGTTTTATTTTCTATGCAAAGGCATTTGATTTTGTGGATCATAACAAATTGTGGATGACATTGAGAAGAATGGAAATTCCAGAACACTTAATTGTACTCATGAAGAACCTATACATAGACCAGGAGGCTGTTGTTTGAACAGAACAAGGGGATACTGCATGGTTTAAAATCAGGAAAGGTGGGTGTCAGGATTGTATCCTTTCACCATACTTATTCAATCTGTATGTTGTTGTTATGTGCCATTGAGTCACACCTGACTCATAGCAACCCCTCCTTGGGTTTCTGTGATGGTACCACTACAGAAGTAGATTGCCCAACCTTCCTTCCAAGGAGTGGCTGGTGGGTTTGAACCGCCAGCCTCCTGGTTAGCAGTCAAGTGCCTTAGGCACTACACTACCAGCGCTCCTATTCAATGTGTATGCTGAGCATATAATAAGAGAAGCTGGACTATATGGAGAAGAATGTGGCATCAGTATTGGAGGAAGACTAATTAATAACCTACAATATATAAATGACACAATTTTGCTTGCTGAAAGTGAGGATTACTTGGAGCACTTACTGATGAAGATTAAAGACTACAGTCTGCAGTATGGATTATATCTCAATATGAAGAAAATACAAATCATAACAACGGGACCTATAAGTAGCATCATTATCATTTATCAATGGAGAAAAGATTGACATTGCCAAAGACTTCATATTACTTGGTTCTATAATCAACACCAATGGAAGCAGCAATCAAAATATCAGACAACATATAGCATTGGGCAAATCTGCTGCAAAAGACGTCTTCCAAGTGCTGAAGAACAAAGATGTCTCCTCGAAGACTAAGTTGCTCCTGATACAAGCC